AAAAAAAAAAAAAAAAAAAAAAAAAAAAAAAAAAAAAAAAAAAAAAAAAAAAGGAAAAAGAAAAATCTTGCTAGCTGTGGAACCAAAAAATAAATAAATAAAAATAAGAGTTTATATTACCTTAATGCAACTTTCACTGTTGATTAAAAATAAAGTTTTCCTTTTGGCTTAACCATTTTCTAACAAAGGCATCATGATAATTAAACAATTTCATCTTTTTCCAGAGGAAATCTTTCATGGTTACTTAAATAAAAAGCTTGTGAGTCATACATACGGATAAATGGCTTCTTTAACGTTTCCAAAAATCTGTTTCCCCGTCATTATAATGGTCAACTGGGTTGTTAATTCTATAAGACAGCCTCCAGGATCACACTAGTCAGAAGCGAGAGGGGAGAAAACAGAATTGAATGATCAAAGATGCAATTTTACAACACCTAAAAAAGCTCTAAGCCATAAGATTAGGATCTCAAGGTTTTGGTTGGAAGGAATAAGGTATATTTAGCCCAATAATTCCAAACATAACCACAGAGCAGCACCAGCCTAACTGCATTAGATTCATCTGTAAACTGTGTGAAAAACACAGATTTCTGGGTCTCATTCTTAGAAAATTCTAAGTGTTTATATCTGTGTTAGAGGTGGGAGTTGGTACACTCTCCATTCTGCATAATTTGGAAACCATAAATATGTTCTAACACAATTACCCATAGTGGAACCATTTATACAGAAAGTAATCATTCTTCCTTTGCAGGAAACTTTCAGGAACAAAGAACTTAACCTATGTCATTTTATAGCTCATATTTTACTACCAAACTGTAGGCATGATATAACTTTTTGCTCAAAATAAACTGAGAAGTTTATCAAATGACAGGATTCATCTGTGAATAATACTCTTTGTGGATAGAGTCAGTGTCTAGATATCTTTTGCAAATTTTTAGCATCTGAATCAGTGCTTGGCAAACAGAAAGTGGTTAATATGAGTATGGAAGATACACACCTCACCTCTCAAGGAAATTCTTACCTCTTCACCTCTCCACTCATTAAATAAATATGTGTATCTTCCAGGATAGCCTACAAACTTTCCTTTAAAGAAAGCTACGTAGAAGCAGGCTGAATAAAAATTTACAAACTGAAACAGGAACATTTTCAAGGTTAGACTGCTCTCATACTCCTGGTAAGTTCGAGGAATTTCTGTTAAATTAAAAAAAAAAATAGGTTTAGCACATCTTATGTTTCCTTGAACTCTGTACTCCCTGAGACAAGTGAACACCCAGTCACATCATTCTGAGAGCCTATAGCATGCGACCTATTCTGGCAATAGTAGGCCAATATTGAGTAACTATGGATTTGTGCTAGACTTTCTCTTACACACTTTTTATTAAGCTAATCACTGGAAAAGGCTAGGAGGCTGTTGTTACTACAGTCAGAGAGACAGTATTCTTGTCTTGGGGTTACACAGAATGTGAAATTCAAACCCATATGATATGGTTTGGCTCTCTGTCCCCACACAAATCTCATGTCAAATTGTAATTCCTACCTGCCAATGGAGGGACCTGGTGGGAGGCCACTGAATCATGGGGGCAATTTCCCCCATGCTATTCTTGTCGTAGTGAGTGAGCTCTCAAGAAAACTGATGGTTTTAAAGTGCAGCACCTACCTATGCACTCTCTCTCTCTCCTGCCGCCTTATGAAGAAGGTGTTTGTTTCCCCTTTGCCTTCCACCATGATTGTAAGTTTCCTGAGGCCTCCCAAGACATGTGAACCGTGAGTCAATTAAACCTCTTTCCATTACAAACTACACGGTCTCAGGTAGTATCTTTATAGCAGTGTGAAAACAAACTAATACACCAAATAAGACTGAAGAATCTTATGCTCATCTCCAAACACTATCTTGTATCCTATAAGCACATCAGATCTCATCTGCTTACAATCATGTTTAAACAAACTAAGCTCATGCAAAGGGAGGGATGATTTCCAATGAAATTGTGTTGCCTTCCCATGAATTAAAAGGCTATATTAATTCTGTAAACAATGTGATCAGCAGAAACAGTACACATTTTCCCTCTCCTTTATTTAAAATGCATGATCATGATCTGTCATTTAATGAATTCTAAAGATAAGAAAATATTAAATTATCTTCACCCTACAATAGAGGCTCATGAAGCACAAAAGAATAAAAAAGTACGTTTTCCTGAGCTGATAATCTCCCAGTAGCATGAGCTGATCCAGCCAAATCATGTCATTTCCAGCAATACTGGAAGAGTATTACAAATTATTTTAAAGACAGAGGTAACTCCTCCATTTTAGTGAAATGTAGCTGTATTCCTACAAAACCTGTAATGTGAACTTGAATGATTTCTTTTCCCACTGAGAAAAATGGTGAGTTTTTAGGTGCTTTTTAAAAGCAATTTATCTGCTGTGATTTTCTCACTGTTACTAGCAGAGAAAAGTAAATCTGAAAGAGAACTCCAAATTTGAAGAGGTATATAATGAAAGTCTCATCTCAGTACTCATTCCAGTGCTGACTGAAGAATGTGCTCTTTTCTTGGCATTGGCCATGATATCTACATACAACAGATTCAAAGCTGCTTGATCCCTGGAAAGTGCACTCAGAGAAGAGGCTGACGCCTTGAGTCTCCAGCTTTGATCTTACTGCTAACTTGCTCTGTGCTGCTTTACCTAACTCAATCTCTCACTTAAACTGTGGCCCCTTTCACTTTACCCCATGGCTTTAAGTAAAAATTTTAATATTTTAACAAGAAAATAATCCAAGTTCTAAGAGATGGCAGTTAAAAAGAAAAGCACTAAAATTTAGATTTATTTAGGAGAAGCTGATTGTTCTGTTTTTCTCAAGATAGCTTCCAAAATCAATACTGTGTAAGAACCACATACATGAAATAAAAATTATCCGTGTCTTCAATAAAGTAAAGATTTTACTTAGGATTCAACTAGACCCATCAAGGGAGAATTAAGACAAGAATACTCAAAAAGACATAGAGTCCAAATTCTTTTTTTTTTTCCAGTTCTTTTTGCTGTTTCCATTATAATGGACCTTGAATGTGGCTCTTTGATGATTTTGAAATAGCAGATATGGGTCTACCTATAGAGAAAAACTGCCTTAAAATGTGCCCTTTGAAAATGAACTCCTGGGGAGTGCTCCAAAATAGACACATAGCATCAATACGAATCATTCTTCAGAATCACACTAATGATTTGGCTAGCTTACCCATTTTTGTAATCCAGGCAGATATCCTTTCATAAAAGAAATTCAAGATCAAGATGACTATAAAGTTCAAGCACGATCCTGTGAGTGATGTAGCTATCTGAGGAGTAAGGAAGCTTTTGACCTGCTTTAAGGATGCATCACTTTCCATGAAACTAGCAAATGTGGCAAAGACTGACAGGCGGTACACAATTACAGCTACCATACTGGTGACGACAAGAGACATCTGGGGAAAAAAAAGCAAAGTACTGTTATTTGGGTCTCTGTATCTGTTATGAATACATATCTAACACACTGATTATTCTGTTCGACTCATATGAAGTTCTATTTAGTAGGTCTCATGTGCAAAGCCAACTAAGTCAGTCTCTCTTGCCATAGATGGCAAGATATGAACACTGGCAAGGTAAAAGGGTTAGAGATAAGGCACATGGCAGCTGCTGGTTAAGTCTAAAACAGAAACATATTCATTCTCATACTCTAGGCTCATCCTCTAGCAGGGAGTGACAAACTATAGTGGAAGGCCAAATCCTGCCCATGGCCTTGCCTGTTCTTATGTGGCCCTTAAGTTATAAATGTTTCTTTGAATTTCTAAAGGTTACAGAAAAAAATAAAGACAATTATGTTCCAGAGCTATATGTACCCACAAATCCAAAAATATATCTGGCCCTTTCACAGAAAATGTTTGCTGACTCATGCTCTAGGTTGAAATTAAACATGTAGAATCAAGATCACTTACTTTCCCAAGAAAAATACATGTCAATATTGTATTTCATTTCCCCTCAGAATGTTGCCATTAGTGCTCTAATATGCCTGGTAGTTTAGAAATTTATACAGATTCTGTATAAATTTTTTATACTTCCCATATTGCAAAAGCATGAAGATGGCTTTCTATCAATCATTAGAGAATTTTATTCTAAAAGTTGAGGAAGTGAGTCAAATTAAATAAAAACTAGTAATCAAAACCAGAATAAATTTCTGGGGACATACTCCAGAAGATTTCTCAAAAGAGTCCTGAATTGATAATTCTCCCCATTTATTGTTATCACGTCTCAACAATTATTATGTAATCTAAGAAAACACATTTCTACTGTTTTAAAATGTGAAAATAATAGACTTAAAAAGAAATGTTAAAGATAAATCATGCAGGATTTATGGACTGGTGAGTCTAAATTATAGTCTACAACCATCAATCATTTACATTTCAACATGTTAACCCCTCAGAGGGTAACATTGGCTCTTTTCCTAAAATTAAATAACTGTTAAGAGGGAACAAATTTGGAAAAGGAACAGCAGGAAATAAAGTGAAAATAAAGATAAATTCATGATTTTTCTAAAAGTAACCGAAGATTCTGGAATCAGAGTAAGTTTGTTATTCTGTCCTGATTTCAAGTGATCACTTAAATGAAGTGCCATGAGGCAAGGAGAAATAGGTTTTAAGATAAAGTACCTCCTCTTCCCTGAGATCCTTTCCCAAAGTTTAATTATAAAAAATCCATATAAATTACAGTTTATTTTGTATAAGAGCTATAACCAAGATAAAAAGATCAGGGAGGCAGAGGGAAAAGAAGGACTCAAGAGACATTGCAGATGACACTGTTGAGATAGCTCATTTAATTGCCTGTTGAAGAAATGATAACAATTTTAAAAGACATGCTCACCCATAATGTCACTGTGGCTCCTGAAAAAAAGTACCATGGAATACGTGTGTATAGAGGCATGTAAGGTTCCATCTCCTGTAATGTTGAAGAAATCACAAAGAAATTCAAAATCTCCTCTCTTAGTTGAGACTACAAGCACTAGTCAATATCATAGAGTCCAGTTAAAGTAGAAATCTCCCAAAAGGGCCTACTATACTTCATGGAAAGCTACATTATAGGGATGGTTCCTTCCCTTGAAGTAGAAATCTTCAGGCCTCATGGATGAGATATCTTACACATATTATGAGTCATAATGGATATACACAATTTCCTAAATGCTGAGTTATGATATTCAGGGCCTGGCAGACAGTAAACAAAGTCAAATAATGAGGGTTGCTGCTTAGGTAGACAGATCATTTATGATGTTTAATGATGTTATAATTTTATTTTAATTGAATTGAATTGCATTACTCTGCATATTATATTAGATGCTTTCTTCATATTTTTCAGATAACTGTGTTCTTCCACATAGCTCATGATCCAAGACTTCTACCTTTAGTCTTTAAGAGTCATTAATGAAAGATATTGATACAGCTGACATTCTTAGGTGCATCAAGACATAAGCAGATTTTTACCCAAAAGAAAAAAAAAACAGTAAAAAAAAAATAGCTGTCAGCAGAAATCAAAATCATGTAATTCCATAATATTTCACATTTAACAATGTTTAGGGTGGTATGAATAAAAATAGAACTTTCAAGGATAGAGTAGGCCATTCAAGAGTCCTATAGACCTCAGAGTGTTTGTGCATGCATGTATAATATGTGACCGTGGACATGTGTGTTCATGTGTGTACCCAGTGTATGTGTGTTTATACATGTGTATGCATATTCGTGTGTGTGCACGTGTGTGTTCCCAATGTGGACTCAAATGTGAGTGTTCTGGTTGCCCTTAAACACTGAAACAGCACTACTAGTAAGAAAAAAACAAGACAAAATAAAATTCTGTTTCTTGATTTCTAAACCATGAAAGCTAAGTGAAGTGAAGCTGATGATTCACAGTGAATCAATATATACTGTTTTTCAACTGGCTGCAAATGTAAGCATTCAATACTTTTTTTGTTAATTTTCAGAAAAGCTAATAAGACTACTTTTGTTTTATTTTTTATCTTATGAAATAGGAATAAACATCATGTTATTATTCTGTCAATATTTTTAAATATATTTTCTTAATTTCAAACGGCCACCCAAATTTTCAATGTATTTTCTGAGATGTTTTCTTGATCTTTCAATGAAATTTAGTAACTATAGTGAATGCCTAAACAGTGAAAAGAAATTTTATATGTTATGTTGCAAGAATGGTTTTCCAAAGAGAATAGGGAATTCTACTGAAAAGAGTGCATTGGGCACATATTATTCTCTTTTAAATAGCAGTAAACAACACTGTGGCTGTAGATTATGGAAAAATGGAGACTCTAAAAATATGTAACCAAGATTCTGGTTTCTAAAGGCAAAGTTACTTCTATTTTCACATGGAAAAAGTGAGTTACCAAAAAGTTAAACAACTCAGTCAAGAACACACAGCTGGTTTGTCAGCTAAGGATTCTAATATGTAGACTTTCCCCACACACACCACTGCAATGATTCTCAATATAATCAATTAAAAGGGGCCATGTGAAGAAATGTTAGTCTGATAAAACAATCACTCATAAGACTACAATCTGAATATAAATACTATTTTAATTTTTGTATATCAACTTAGCATTATTTCAACGTCTATATATTTATATACAAACCCTATTGCACATACACGATTTTCCTTTTTGCACTTAGTTTAATGTTATTATGCCTTGGATTTACTTCCAAATAATCTAGTGACATAAAGGATGAATGAAACAAGATTGTCCATGAATGAAAAACAATTGATTCTGGGTCATGGGTTCATTCATGTAGTTAGTTCATTATACTTTTCTACCTACATTTGAAAGTATTTGAAAATTTTCATATATACACATTCATATATAAACATTTATATACACATATATGTATTAGAAACAAGTAGTTTATGTGATGTATATGTTGTAGAATATTTTAAAGGCAAATTAAACTATGATTATTTGAGAAGAAACCTATAGTAATGTGTCCATTAAGACATGCTGCCCATTTCACAGTTTTCTGGTCTACCTTAGTCACTGCATTCAATTTCCTGTGTTTACACATAGCTTCAAATTCCGGTCTCAGCTGGAGCTGCTGCTGTTCCTCCTCAAAGTCTACCAGGTCCCACTCATATTCCAGTCTGGCTTGTCGTTGTTTCCAAAACTCCAAAAATAAGGTGACTATAGGTAAACAAACATAAAAAAAAAGAGATATGAAAAAATAAAAGTAAATAAAAAGCTTTATCAACTTTTCTCTTTAATCACTTTGGTTACAGGATGGTTCAAATTTTTCTGTCACTGTTGTGTTTGAAAATTTATCAGTTACTAATGTTGGCATAATATTGTGTATTCAGTAACACACTGAAAAAAGTCATACAAAATTTCAAATTAATTTCTTGGTCAGTGGTCCAAGTAAGATTTTTTTCAGACATATTAATATCTTTGTTCATTCAGACAATTTGAAGCAATATTTAAACTTAGCTTTTTACTAAACACTGAGGTTTTTTTTTGCATGTCTTTTATTGAAACCATTCAAGTCAGTGTACTGTTTTCTCAGGCTTAGGGAAATATACCTAGGAAGCATAAGAGCCATTAATTATTCTCACTCTTAAAATACGTATACATTCTATATGTGTGTGTGTGTGTGTGTGTGTGTGTGTGTGTGTATAACATAAAACTTTTACATATATATGTATATATATAAAAACTTCAGCTTTCTTTTTATGTCTTTATTAAAGTCTCCCTCTGTCGCCCAGGCTGGTCTCGAACTCCTGGCCTCTACTGATCCTTCCACCTCAGCCCTACAAAGTGCCAGAATTATCAACTTTCAATTGAAGAATATATATTTACAGAAAAGTATATGAAATATAAATGCATAATTCAAAAAGTTTTCACAAAATATACTCATATAATCAGCACCAATATAAAAAACAGTCCATTACAAATGGATTTACATAAATTATATACAACTAATAGTGTTTCATGTCAAGCTTTGTTTTTTGGTTCAACTTTGTTTCTGTTTGCAGCAAAAATTCATTTATTTTCATCACTGTATAGTGTTAGATTGTATGGTTAAATCACAATTTTGATTATATATTCTTGGGCTGACAGACATTTGAGTTGTTTCCAGATATTTGCTATTACAAATAGTGCTGCTGTGAATAATACTCTTGTACATATCTTTTTGAATCGTGAATTTATATTTCATATACTTTTCTGTAAATATATATTCTTCAATTGAAGTTGATAATTCTGGCACTTTGTAGGGCTGAGGTGGAAGGATCATTAGAGGCCAGGAATTTGAGACCAGCCTGGGTGACAGAGGGAGGCTTTAATAAAGACATAAAAAGAAAGCCGAAGTTGTTATATATATACATATATATGTAAAAGTTTTATGTTTTATACACACACACACACACACACATATATATATACAGAATGTATACGTATGTTAAGAGTGAGAATAATTAATGGCTCTTATGCTTCCTAGGTATATTTCCCTAAGCCTGAGAAAACAGTACACTGACTTGAATGGTTTCAATAAAAGACATATGCAAATGATTTCAATAAAAGACATTGGTTGGTATATATATGCCTTTCTATTGGGTATATACATGCCTTTCCTAGTATTCTATTTAGGAAAATAATACTAACATCATCAATATTAACTCATAATTTTTATCATCTATAAAAGATTCAACTTTCTGACTCACTCTCTAACTTTTAAATAATGTAAGGAACTCTGGATTCTATCCATACATTTTTAAAATTCTAATTACATTTTTATCATTATAGTCATCTAATTGCTCTCTCAGCTTCCAAAATATATTTTTCTAGTGCAAATATATCCATCCATCTAACTGTTGGTTTTTGTTTGTTCATTTGCCCATGTATACATTGGCTTATGTTTTCCTTTGCTCATTATTTAAACTTTAAAGAACTATTTAAACGTTTATTAAGTGGGAAGAACACAGTAGACTTACCACTTAACAATTATAAAGTATACAATTCATTATGTGGAACATAAGTACAATGTTGTACAGATCTTATTTATCTTGCTTAATTGAAACTTTAATGTGTGCTCATTGATTAGTAACTTCTCATTTCCCAATCCTCCAGCGCCTGGTAACCACCATTCCACTCTATGATTCTATGAGTTTGGCTCATAGATACCTCATATGTAACTCCACCAGTAAAAAAGTAATTCAGTCCTCCTCTGCACCCCCTCAGCATTTAAACTGCACTTCTACGAAAGTAGTCTTCAGATTCTATCCCAATTAGATTGTGACTTTCTTAACAACAGGTTATATTTCATTCATTTATTCATTCTATCATTTAATATTAATTGTGAATTTCATGAGCAGAAACTTTTACTCTATTCATTTCATTACTCCAGTATGAAGTAGGTACATCATTAGCAGGGAGAAGTTTCAAGAGTTTGGTACTATTAACTATTTTAAGATTTGCTTGTTTGTTTATACTACAATAGAACAACTACCATTAATTTTAGAAGAAGTACCTGGTTACTATGGCTATGCAAGAGATTGGATGTCATATATATACTGCTAAAACTTTTAAATACACTAAGCATTTAAAATTCTTTTGCCTCAAAGTTTGTTAATGCTGAAGTAGAAGTAAGAAAGTTGGCCAACATAGATGGGATTGTGACATAAATTAATGACAGTACAAAATAGTCAGCAAAAAAGAGTACTATAAGGAAAGAGAAATGATATGGATTAAAAATAAAATTGTTCCCATGATTTCTATGGACTTGTATGATTATAACTGTATAGGAATCACAAGATTCACATATTCCCTGAAAAGGATTTCTGGAAATTAAAGAGATCCTTAGTTTGGGCCTTATACATTGTGCTAAAATAGGATTTGACCTTTTTCATTTTTAAGAAGATATACCATTAGCATTTAAATTATTCATTTATTCAATGTATATTTGAATACATGCCATATGCCTAGTCCTGGAACTATGGAAATGAAAGCCATGGTGTTTGTCCTAAAGGAGCAAGTAATCTAGTGATGAGACTGGTTTATACATAATTACAATCATGGAGGCATGTAAACTAAAAATTTGCCTTACAATCAAGGGCCATGTATGTGCATATTTAAATTCCTATTGCCTAGAATAGTACCTGTTCCAGGGTAGAAACTTCAAAAACTAGTTGCTGATTATATTAATGTGTAAATAAAATGAAATCATTAAATTTCTGAAATAAAGCATAGGTGAACATCTTACATTATCTCTGAGTAGGGAAGGTTTTCTAAAGAAACACATAAAATAAGAAAAACCATAAGGAAAGCTTTATGACCAGTAATAGATATTAAAATGTCTACTGATTATGAATGAGATCAAATGTAAATTACAAACTGAAAAAAAATTTGCATTTTCTGTGGCAGACAAAGGATTATAGTGCTTATTATATAAAAGCATCTGTGAATTATTATAAAAAATCAAATACCTCAAACATCAAAAAGAGTCAATGGTCAATAAGTATTAAAAATATGATCAGTCTCACTTGTGATCTAGTAACTGCAAATAGAAATAATAATGAGATAATATCCCCATCCATCAAATGTAAGTGACAAAAAGATGCTACTTCTCATGCTTACCTAGGGTTGAAACAGAAAAACTCACAGAATATTTGAAGAAATATAATTTGGTGCAAACTTTGTATAAGAGAATACAGAAATAAATAGTAAAGATTTAAAATTATAAACATAAAACTGCCCCACTAATTAGCCTGTGAAAAATTCATACTTATAAATAATTGTACAAATATAAAAATATCTGTATTCCAGCATTATTTATAAAAGTAATATAAAGGGTGGAAGTGGCCTAAACATCCTAAATAGAGAATTGGTTAGGCAAAATGTGATACATTCATAAAATGCAATTCTATATATTCATAAATATACATTCACATGCAGACACACACACACACACACAAACACACACTATAACATATTCATTGATATGGAAAAAGTTCCATCACTCATTTTTTTTTGTTGAATAATAAAGAGCAGGTTTAAAATTACATATATTATTTACGTGTAACTATATGAACACACGTGCTCATACACAGAGTGAAATATTTTAGAAAATCATGGCCAAAATAACGATCATATTTTAGGTGATAAATATTTAAAATATTTAATATTTTTTTCTTCTTGTATCTATCTATTCCTTGAATTTCCTAAGATGGATACATATTTCCCTTAGAAACAAATCAAAAAAATTTTAAAGAGCAATTCCTACCAGTATTCATTATTTTCAGGCCTCAACCCCTTGGACTAGTGAAGGTCCTGTAAACTTAATTGTTTTTTCTTTACATCTACTCTGCCAACTCATAATTTCATCCAGCTTAACTGTTTATCAGAAAATGTACTAAATCAAATGCCCTTGAACTTCTATTTTCATTGAATTTGGCCAAAATTCTCAAAAGGCAAAGCTAAATCATTTCACTACTAAAACAAACTTTCCTCAAAGGAATAACTGACAGTGAATCTTCACAATGCCCATTTGATAGTGCTGTGGGGTGCTCCACACACAGCCGCTCCCCTATTTATGGTGAAATATAAGGCGGTGTTGGTGCACAATCTCTCTTAACAGAAACAATGGAAAATTCTCACAATGTACTCATTGTAATCATGCCCCTATCATTCATTTTAGCTCCCAAGTAATGAGAGGTAGGATTTGGCAGCCTCATGATAAATGGATGTATATACGACTTAGCAAAACTGGAGGTGCTGTTAAACCACTCATAAGATTTCTAGAACCTTTGTTCTCTTTTTGAATCTAGGCTGCTCTCCTCAGACCATAGCAGCCAAGCAGAAATGACAGAAAGCCATAAATCCCTCTGCTTTGCACAGATACCTACCAATTTTGATGTTATTTGCCTGGATAATGCAGCCCTTGCTGGGTTTTGAATTGCACATATTTGTGTTTGTTAGACTGTTTTTTAATTGAAAAAATGTCTAATTTTCACCTAGGAACCCCATGTTTTGTGATATATTTTAGGCCAGTCTATAGGTCTCTTCTAATAGAGTTATTCTTAAAGAAATTATTTTCCTTACTGATGAAGAAACAAAAAAAAAAAACTTCATGACACTTCAACTTTCCAAGTGAAATGGAAAAATTAAGTCCTGGGCAGGGCATTTTCAGAGTTAAGGAAAATTCCATTTTATATATAAGATTTTTAATGAATGAAAGTGGAAATGGAAACTATAACTAGACGATTTAGACTCAAAAAATGTTCATTAGTCCTCAGGTTTTTGGTCTTTATTCCAGTTTGTATACATGACTCAATATTCTCTAGCCACCAAATATTTGTTTAATCTCTCCTGAATTAAGTACTTTTTGAGCCTGTTTTTAACATGGCACTGAAAGACAGTGGGAAGTTAATAATTTGATGTTTCAAAAAATATGTTGTCTTTTAGAGAAATGAGCAGATGTTTAATAGATACTTGTGTGGACCAAGAGCCAATGGCCACTAATATGCGCTACTACATCAGTGTTTTAATGCTAACAAAGACACAATGACCTAAAACCACATTTGGTATGTAAGATAGTTCATCTGTCACATGCTATACAGAGGCCAAATAACACATTAATAGGAAGAAGGCTGTTTCTTTATTGGACTATTTACTCACCCCAAATTCCCATGAATATTGCAAAGAACACTGTTGACTCATTATCAAACAAATGGGAGAACTGCAAAAATAACAATATCACAAAGATAATTGAGTACTAAATGTAATAAAAAGGAAGGAAACTCTAAGTATTTTCAACATATTATAATGCATACATACCTTCGAGGCTAAACACGTACTGTTTAATCTCCAATAATCACATACTTGATCACAGAGTGGGCACATGATCATCTGACCACCAATCTCAGGGTCACAGATTTCAATGCTGCAAGAAGAACAGCCAAGCTATTGAAAAGTGATAAGTGTTTAGGTAAAAGTCCAATCTTTTCTTATTAGAATAACTATTTATATAACTTCTCACATACAACAGAAGGGGCAGTCATGCAGCTATTTCTATAGTGGGTCAAGTCATGCTTTGAGGAGTAGACTTTTCAGAACCCATCATTAAAAACAGACTTTCCATAAAGCACCAGGTGAGAGGCAGCTATTATGTTTGAGTCTTTTTTGGAAAATATCAATTATCTGATGCTATAAGGAAACATTCTGAAGGAAATGCCAAGGAAATAATAATAGCTGAGTTTGGCGCACGATAAAGATCCTCTATCTGGGCAATTCAGGTACACTTACCTGCATGCGTTATGTTCCATTGATAATAAACCATAAATAAAACAAGCTAATCCAACTATAGCTGCAAAGAACAGCATTTCTGTGTAATATCCAAGAAAGACAAAATAGATGCCAATTTTTTCTCCATAATAATTCCTGTGAAAAAGAGTAAAAACAGAATCAGAATATGAAAGAATGTTATAGTCCTGAGAACCTTAATTTTGTATTCAGGCAGGCACATATTCTAATTTTGGCTCCATTGCTTTCTAGACATGTAATTTTAGTGAAGTTGCTTAACTCTCTAAACTTCAGTTTCCATATTATTATCATGTTTTAACAAAAGATAATGTTTATTCCACAGTGCAAGGACTGATTTAAGGATTAAAAGAGAACAGATGGAAGTAGAAAGCCAATTAAGTAGAATTTGAAGGGTGTCTCTACTGCAAATAGAATTTAAATGGTTTTTAAGTAAACTACAGAATTTTCTACAATATAATTTATAGGAATAAACTTAACAAATCAAAATCATATTCAAAATCTTTTTGCTTTATCTCTCTTTCTAAAACTGAAAACGTTTATCTGACCACATTGTAGGTATATATTTCCATCTTTCTCTAAGTTTGGATTTTGGATGTTTATAGGATTGTGACATAGGTAGCAGACCAAGGAATTAAACATGATTACTGTAGAAAAATTCTATAAAATATGCAGCTCAGCTCTTGGTTTTCAAAGAGTTGAAAAGTGACAGCATTTATTGGCATAAACTTTTAAATCTCGCAACCAAGTGTTTTGTTTGTAACTGAGTACCCATTTAGGAATGAAAGAAAGTAGTTTTCTCCTCCTCAGAAAACCAGGTTTTCTTGATGTTGTTGTTTAACCTGAATAATCCTCCTTGTTATTCATATAGACTCTAGCTCACCAAATCTGTGAGTCTTTCCACAGTTTCCTAGGTGAAAAGATGTGATACCTTCTGTGTTCTAATAGCATGCATTTGCTATAGGAATGCATGCTATAGGAAGTGATTGTATGAAAGTACTTGATTCTATGAAAGTACTTAATATTAAATTGCAATGTCTATGTATGCTCAAGAACACAAACCTGAACGTAAAGTTATAAACTTTTTTCCCAATGAGATTTTAAAATATATTTCGCATATTCAATATTAATTTTATTGAACCTCCCATTCTTTATATTTCAGCACTCTTAAAGCTAAGTGGGCATCTTTTTACTTATACTGTCCTTTTCATTATTTTCAGTGATAATGAACATTTTTGCATTGTTATTTTTCTCTAATTTAGTTTTCCGGATCACTATAAACTTGAAATTAAATTACAATGCTATAATATTCTCTTGTTAATCTGCCATTCACAACTTCCTTAGCTTACTCATACTTAGAATGAACTTAATTTCTCCCAGTTTTTTGCTGAAAAATGTAGAAATTATTGTAATAGTATATAACATCAAAAATCAGAAAAAGTATAAACATACTATGCTTTATGAAATTTACTGTTCACCATATCTACTTTACTTTGTTTTAAAAACTGCAGAATCAATATTACTAGAAAGCATAATAGCAATATTACTGCTACAGACTAACTTAAAAATTCTTCAAGAATTCATAAGGAAACTGGATATATCAACAACCTTAAAGTACTACATTTTTCTCCTTTTCAATTTTCACAATTCTTATTCCTTTACCATTAAAATAATAAAAAACCCTCAAGAACTCTAGACTTGTAATTATTATAAAAACTATTATATATAAAAAAAGGAAATTGCTGAGAATTTACTAAATGAAATCTGGCAAGAATTTATTACATGTGGAAATATACAAATTATTTTACTAAACTTTGGACTTGGGTGTCTAACAGTAACAGATTAACAACTAAATAATCCTTTAGGATCTCAGAAAGCAAGATACATTTCTTATATTTGCAATATGGTAAAAATGTATACATTATTGAAGTCACATTTAAGATTTAATTTAAACTATCTTAATAGTCATAACTAAGAAAATAAGAGAAATCTAATAATATGAGACACTATAAAAGCTCAAGTATAGGGACAGCCTTCTTTTGAGTACTATTTTTTAGAAAAAGATGCCATGTATTTAAATCTATGGTCTTTTTTAACCTGTCCATTTTACTAACTAGACTTTCAACTAATCTGTGGCACTGCATCATCTAACATAGCATTTGATAGGTAGAAGGATTCAGTAATATTGGTTGTAAGGGTACTGTGTGAGGGGACCGCTCTCATTTTGAATTTCTAAGATGTAACATTGAGTTGAAGACATAGTAAATAATCAAAAGAATGATGACAGAAATGAAATGAATACAATCTTGAAAATCAGTCACTAAACGTAAACATTTTTTCTAAAGTGATTTATTTTTATAATGAATACATAGACATCTGAGAAGCTTAGCTTCAGGATTATCCTCAAATTGTAATAATAACATTATACGTACCACACATATATTTAGTCTATGCTATTTAGTATGTGGCAGTATTTCTACTTTATTTCTAAGCATTAAGACATACAACATAGGGATAACAAAAGAAAAATTACATGAAGCATAAGCTGGAAAGAAAAAAAAATGGGCTGATAGAGCTGATGTGCCAGTGACCAGTCTTCAATTTTATATTATGCTCTATCAGCCCATCTTTTTCAATCTTGGCATTGCCATTTTCCCAAAAAATACTGTCTAATGTGACAAAATGATATTTGCTCAACAGGCAGATAAACCACTTATAGATACCTGGACATGGAAGTGATGTTTGGTATAGAGATAACATGAAATATGTGAAATCTAGAAACTCAGATTCCTATAAACTAAATCTCTTTCTAGACACCCTACCATCCTGTCATCTTTATTTCTATCCTCCATATCCAATACTCCATTAGGTCCAATGAATTCTCTCATAAAAATATTTTTCTAATTCATAGTCTCCTCTCTCTTTCCTGTCACCAATATCTTGAGAATACCTCCAGTTTTATTGCCGTACAATTTTAGCAGCGTCCTTACTTCCCTGAGTTCAATCTTACATCAATCTAAATTATCTTTTGTTTCCAATAAAGTGATGTTTCTAAAGTAAAAATTGAGCAATATCCTTTTCTTCCTTCAAAGGTTCATCTTTTCACTTCGGCATTGTTCTTCAGGATTTTGTTCCTGGTAAACATTCAAATCTCCTTTGCTGACACTCCTACATGAAGAACTAAACACACAGTGGTCTGTATTTGTTCTCTTTGCCTGAGATATTCTTACCTAACTTCTTTTCCTAATATCCTGCTACTTATCTTTCAAGACATAGTTCAAGAATGAGCACCATGAAGCCTTCCCAGAGGCTGTCATGAAGATAGGTGGTTTTCCCTCTATATTTTGGTGGGAATATTACGTATTACTGTGCTGTAACTAATATGCATTTGTGTGTGTTCCTGCAAACAAATTCATGTTAGGAAACCACATTCTGATCATTTTGTAGGCACAGTATCTTACTTGATATGTAGTGATGCTTAATAAAGTCTCATTAAAAGACGTGTGAATTGTAATTATGCATCTGTGAATAAATTCTTTCTTTGCTTTATTGCTTTTTATTTTTTGAAACAGGGCCTTACTCTGTCATGCTAGGCTGGAGTGTAGTGGTGTGATCTTGGCTCATTGCAACCTCCACTTCCCAGGTTAAAGCAATTCTCCTGCCTCAGCCTCCCAAGTAGCTGGGATTTCAGGTGTGTGTGTCACCATGCCAGCGTAACTTTTGTATTTGTTTACTTTTAAGTAGAGACAGGGTTTCACCATGTTGGCCAGGCTCTCTCAAATTCCTGACCTAAAGTGATTCGTCCGTCTCGGCCTTCCACACTGATGAGATTACAGGCAAATTCTTTCTATTTTAGGGATATTTTAACTTTTATCAAGTCTACCCATAAAGCCTTTACTAAAACCCACAAAATCAACAAGGAAAGGGTAAAAAACCCAAATCCAATACAGGTCTTCAGTATCATGACAGAGAACATCATGATCTTCAAATTACTTGTAAGTAAAGAAATAAACCCAACATCAGCACCTACTGCTAGAAACCTAAGATACAAGAGAGAGGTGAAGAAGACGTTTAAGAAATTCTAGAGGAAAAAAAAATGTAGAGTATGATGGAAAACATAGAGAAACACAGGTAAAATAATCTCTAGAGAAAAGTTTAACTAAATTCCCTAATTCAGAATATATGTTGGGATTTGGTAATCTATAACCTATAAGAAAGGATCTGAAAAGAGCAAGACTGGCCATGGCAGTCTGAGAAAAGCAATATTTCTTCAGAAGAGTTAGATACAAAGAGAGGACTGGTACTCCTTAGAGGTGTGGCAGTAAACAGAAAAAAGAATATAGGAGAGGAGGGTTGGGTCTTGTAGAAATGAAAGAAACAGATTTCGCAGGGCAAGGGAAGATGGGTGTCCACAGCTCTGAGACTCACAGGAAGCTTCAGGTCTAGCACATACAGAAACGGATTCCCCCTCACTCCCATTTACCAGGTTGAACATCCCTTGTCCGAAAATTTGAAATACAAAATTCTCCAAAATCTGAAACTTTTTGAGTGACAATATGATGCCACAAAGAGAAAACGCCCTCCCTGACCTCATGAGATGAGTCACCATCTAAACACCAGCAAAGTGATGAAAATGACACTTTTAACACTGCAACAAAAGTGTCTATAGACAATACATTGAGAATGCGTGATAGACTAACAAAAAAGGGCACTCTAGTGCTAGAAACTCTGTTCACAAATTAAAAGCCAATTGAAATAGGTAGACTACATCCTTAAAAAACTGTGTAAAACAAAAAGAAAATTGAAAGATGTGAAGTAAATAATTTAGGCTGATAATTCTCCCCAAATAATATGAAATTGAAAAATACAGTAATAAAAAACTTAAAACTGAGTGAACTCTTCTCAAATAAATTTGCTGATATAAGAAAACCCCAGAAATATAAAAACTAAAAAAAGGAATGGAGAAAAGTGGAAAGATATAAAACAAAAATTGATTGGACTCCAGAGAGAAGTAGAACAAATTATAAATCATATCAGATCATATCGGAAGTAATACTGAAATTAGCAGGTAACAGAGGAAATCTGGACACAGTGACAGTGATCAGAGGGGGCTTCCCTAG